TCAATGACATGAGACAAAGTATATGTGAACTGCTGTATGAAAAGTGAATTTACTCTGTAAATCTTCACCCAAATCCTAAAAAAAAAAAAAAAAAAAAAAAAAAAAGTGACGTCTCTGCTTTTTAAACGTTTAAGAGGTCTTCTGCAACAGATTTGCCCAATGCAATATGTCATTTTCTTTCTTGATTGCTGCTGCCATGGGTATTGATTGTGGATTCCAAAAAAATGCATCATTGACAACTTCACTCTGTGTTCTTTTTATCATGATGTTGCCTGTTGGTCCAACTGTGAGGATTTTAGTTTTCTTTATGGTGAGGTGTATTCCATACTGAAGTATAGTCTTTCATCTTTATCTGTAAGTGCTTCAAGTCCTCTTTGCTTTCAGCAAGCAGTTGTGTCATTTATATATTGCAGATTGTTAATGAGTCTTCCTCCAATTCTGATGGAGATTGAATAGTATGGTGAAAGGATAGAACTATGATTCACATCTTTCCTGATTTTAAATCATGCAGTGGCTTGGTCTATGTACAGGTTCTGCACAAATACAATTCAATGTTATAGAATTGCCATTTTTTGCAATGTTGTCCATAATTTGTCATGACCCACACAGTTAAAAGCTTCTGCATAATCAGTGAAACATGGGTAAACATCTTTCTGGTATTCTCTGCTTTAAGCCAAGATCCATCTGACATCAGCAATGATCTCCCTCATTCCACACGTTCTGAATCTTGCAGTTCCCTGACAATGCACTGCTATAACTGCTTTTGAATTATCTTCAGCAAAATTTTACTTACAGGTGGTATTAATGATATTGTTCTATATTTTCCTCATTCCGCTGGATCATTTTCTTTGAAAGGGGCACAAATATTGATTTCCTCCAGTCAGTTGGCCAAGTAGCTGTCTTCCAACTTTCTTGGCAGAAATGAGTGCCTCCGGTGCTGAGCCCATTTGTTGAAATATTTCAGTCGGTATTCTATCAATTCCTGGAGCCTTGTTCTTCACCAATTCCTCTAGTGCAGCTTGGACTTCTCCTTAAGTACCATTAGTTCTTGGTCATATGCTACCTCCTGAAATGGTTGAACACTGACCAATTCTTTCTGGTACAGTCACTCTGTGTGTATGCCTTCTGTCTTTCCTTGATGCTTCCTGCATCATTCAATAATTTGACCATAGAATCCTTCAATATTGCACTGTGAGGCTTAAATTTTTCTTGAGTTATTTCAGCTTGAGAAATGCTGAGTGTTTTCATCCCTTTGGATTTTCTAATTCCAGATCATTACCCATTTCATTATAATACTTTACTCTGTCTCCTTGAACTGCCCTTTGAAATCTTCTGTTCAGCTATTTTGTC